CATTGCAGCTTGGTGGCGGTGGCGTTAGCATAGTAGCATGGACGACGAGATGATTGAAAATGAACACAACGGAGATCTAGTCCTATTGGCAGACATCCATTTAAAATGTAGGCAACGGCATGAAAAAAGTGGTTTCTACTTTTACTTTTATACTTTAAGTAAATTTACAAGCCTGTACTTTGTTACTTTTACTTGAGTAATGAAGTTTAATCAGTACTTCCACTTTTACCAGAGTATTTTTTTAACACAAGTATCTTTTACTCAAGTACGGAAAGTGAGTACTTTTGCCATCTCTGCTCATACCTCCAAGTGGAACACTAAAAAACAAGTCAACATCCCATCACCTCAGCTTTATCCCATTGCTCATCTTGGGGAATTCTAGGGGGGTCCTTCACCAGCTCTAATGATCTACTCTACTCAGTGAATCCTTACATTATCATACAAACACCTGCCTGGGAAGGTATACAAAAAGGCATCTTTATCTGATATCCAAAAACACTGATTCTGCACAAAGAATTTCTGGTATAGTCTAGTTTCTTACACTTCCTTTAAAAATGAGGAAACCACCTTAAGAGGAGGTGCATTTAAAATCCTTGGATGCTTGGTCTCCTGAATTGAGATCAACAAGTAAACTGATAACTTATATGACCTTGAAAGGTAGGTAGGACTCTCAATTTATATATGAATGTAAGAAGACTGAGGTATACCAAATTCCTTTTCACTGGGAATTTATTCCCATACTTAAGCTACAGGCAACACTTTAGATCTCCTCATAATGAGGGCTTTTTCAAAGAACGTCTTCCGCCTGAAATTACAAGGTACATGGTCATAACACTCTCCTACTAAACACTGGTTGAGAAACCTCACACAGACCTTGAAATTTGCTTGCAAGGTTGAAATAGTCAATTTCAGCTGTATCTTACACTAGTAGGGTAATCATAGGTGTAGGTTCATGTGCTTGAAGCGATTTTCATCACAGACCAGAAGTCGTTGCTTTACCCCCATTAGTGTTTAATGCTGAAGATAAAGATATATATATATATATATATATATATATAGATATAGATATATATAAAAGAAACAGAAAGGAGGAAGTGGTGGCCAAAAAGAGAGGAAAAAGAAAGCACATTGCAGCAGCCTTGTTATTTTTCATACCAGCTATTGCTGCTGCAATGATGTGATCCATTTACCAACTTCTATCTAAGTCTTTAAGAATTTTTCACTCTGCTTTTAGAAGAGTTTCAATGCACATTTCTTGGACAGGGAAGCCTGGGTGTTTTCATGTTGTACATGAATATTTAAAGGCTTTTCGGCTAAATGTCAGAGTTATCTGCACAGTTTACCAATAAGGTTGCTCTTCTTTACATTTTTCCCCATGCATTTATGTAGTTGTGACCTAAGGTTGAATGCTATGACTTTTCTGGAGAATTTAAATAAGAATATTTTTAAAAAAAATCCAAAATGCTTATTTTGCCCTCAGTCCTTCAGGCTGACTCTGCCTGCGAATTAATTTTCTTCATCAAGTCCAAAATACTGAGATAATCAGCTTCATTTTCATAGCGCCTTCTGAAAGGGTCAACTGCTTGATGATGATGCAGATGGTTGAGGTCTTGAAAGCTATTTGGGCCGGTGACTTCTCGCTGAATTACAGCCAAATCATTTTCTTTCTCTTTTTGCTACACATGAATGAAATAAAAGCCAAATGAGACAAAGACGACCAAAGAAGTCTGATTAAGTCTAATCAAGCTGAGACGGAGGTGACATTTGAATTACTTTGATTTCAATGTCCAAATATTTCATAGGGCTGACATTTTGAAATGCAAATAGCAAACTGCAATGAGAAGAATACTGGGGATTCTCAAAGGCAACGAATAAAGAAGTTGTAGCCTTGACCAAGTTTCTTTTTCTATTTTAGGAAAATATATAATCTTATTTTCGTATTTTGCTTCGAATCAGGCTTTCTTGTATTCTAAAAAGGTCTACTAGTCTAATTCGTCAGGTTTTGTAAAGATCTTTCAAAGCTTTTCATTGACGGCTTATTGAAGCAGTCAGCAATACTTATTAAAGTGTTCTTAGACAGAGCATGATGAATCTGTATTAAGGTTCAGTTATAGTCACTCTCCTGGATGTTGACCGCAGAGACCCGAGAGAGGAAAAACAGGTGACAGTACGCCACATAACCAGAAGAAAGTACTGAGAGAAAAAATACTTTCGAACACTAAAAATGCTTGAGTTTTTTTTAATTCATATTATTTCTTACCAATCTACGGAGCCCCTCTGATGACATGGTCAAAAAAAATTTTTAATTGTGGCCACGAAGTAGTATTTCGTGCGCACGAAATACTACTTCGTGGCCACGCAATAAGATTAACGTGCGCACGAAATACTTATTAATAATATTAATATCATTCTTGGACAACTGGGTTAGCAAATCGAGCGCGCCTTCTCTAAGGTCTAAGGCACCACAAAGTATTATTTCGTGCGCACGTTAAACTTATTGCGTGGCCACAAAGTAGTATTTCATGCGCACGTTAAACTTATTGCGTGGCCACGAAGTAGTATTTCGTGTGTACGTTATACTTATTGCGTGGCCACGAAGTAGTATTTTGTGCGCACGTTATACTTATTGCGTAGCCACGAAGTAGTATTTCGTGCGCATGTTATACTTATTGCGTTGCCACGAAGTAGTATTTCGTGCGCACGTTATACTTATTGCGTAGCCACGAAGTAGTATTTCGTGCGCACGTTATACTTATTGTGTAGCCACGAAGTAGTATTTCGTGCGCACGAAATACTACTTCGTGGCCACGCAATAAGATTAACGTGCGCACAAAATACTTATTAATAATATTAATATCATTCCTGGACAACTGGGTAAGCAAATCGAGCGCGCCTTCTCTAAGGTCTAAGGCGCCACGAAGTATTATTTCGTGCGCACGTTAAACTTATTGCGTGGCCACAAAGTAGTATTTCGTGTGTGCGTTATACTTATTGCGTGGCCACGAAGTAGTATTTTGTGCGCACGTTATACTTATTGCGTAGCCACGAAGTAGTATTTCTTGCGCACGTTATACTTATTGTGTAGCCACGAAGTAGTATTTCGTGCGCACGAAATACTACTTTGGGCCACAATTAAAAACATTTTTTAACCATGTCATCAGAGGGGCTCCGTACCAATCTATTTTTTTTTTCTTGGAAAGTTTTAGACTTAGATTAAAACCCTGAGGAGGAAACCACTTTTGACCTCTTTGAATTTGTCTGCAGTTTTCCCCTTCAGCCACACATAAACAGCTTCATATATCCTTTAAAACAGGGGTCTTCAACATTTTCCACGCTAAGGACCCCCCAACTGATGGCAGCGGGACCCCGTAATTATATATATTGTATGAAATTGTGTTATATTAAACTGGTTCTTTTGTCACTCTATTACAAATTGAGTCATGTAACAAAAGTAACTCCTCCCTGGGATTATTAAAGTATTTCTGATTCTGATTCCTGGTTGATGGGACAGGTGTTGTCAATGAAACAGTGCCCAGCTTGAAAGAGCTTCTGTGTGTCGCTGAATGTGTGCATTGATGACTGAAAGACATCTTCTGCTCCATTTATCTTTTTACAACAGTGTGTTGAATTCATGTTAATGTGGATTTAAAGACATTTCAATTAGTGGGAAAATTGCAGGGGGGAATATAAAAAAAAAAAGTCTAATCAACCAAAACTTTTGCGACCCCCATGTAGTACCTCCGTGGACCCCCTTGGGGTTGCGGACCGCCTGTTTTAGGACCTCCACCTTAAAACAAACAATCCTAAAAACTGGACACTTGTAAACTCTCCTGTTATTAGCCTATGTGTATAAATGAAAAGATGAATATTAATATCCTGTGTAAAAATATTTCTTTGCTGCAACACACATATGCAACCATTGTTTATATGCCTGGCCATATGGTGGAGTTAAAAATGAATTTGATTCGAGAGGTGCTTCTTTTTACATTGTTTTAGAAACGTTTTGCTTATATTTATTTTAATTCATGATCTGATAATTTGATCCATGATTCATTTCAAACAGGAAGTCATAGTTGTTTTGAAGGATTTTGATTGGCTGACAAGTTTTAGTTTTGCAGTACACTGCCCCCTATGCATTTGGCATATCTAAGACACTTTGTGGTTTATTTCCCTGTGAAAACTTCTTAAAAAATAATGTCATAGGGGATATATTCATTTCTTTTTTTTTAAATCCTATGGATATATCGAGTGGGACGATGTCTGGGCAGAACATTTCTTTCTTGCTGCATGTCGGAAAAAGCTGTTTGATTGGTCAGGATTTAGATAAGCGTTGTTAAGTAGGAAAAGCAGAGATGACTTTCTCCTTTTTTTAAGGTGGGGAAATTGATTGTTCGGAAGATGAGCTTCTTACAAATTATGATCAGTTGGAGAGCAAATACAATTCTTTTTTTCTTTTTATTGCCATGATGAGAACAAAGATAGATGTATTGCTTTCTGTGCAAATTGGCCTTTAAACTGTACATATTCTGCTTATCTTATTTAAAGGTGTTCCACAAGGATGTGTTTCAACTCCCCTGTTTTTTTTTCTGATGCTGCACATTAATATCCTACTCTCAATATATTGACCTTCTTGTTACTTTGTGCTTTCATCATGCTCATGATTATTATAGTTTTATTGGTTATTAAATGTGTTAATAAGACATCGGTTGTCTAGAAAATAGCTTTAAAAAAATTGAACAGGTTGGCCACGCATTCTTGCAAAGAAGTTCCCATTCGATAGACACCTAAAAGTATTCTTAGCATATGCAATGATTTATATTCCATAAGTTGTAACATTTGAAAACAAAAATCCATTGAAATTATCCTTTTAATTTTAAAATACGTATTAAAGAAAAGGGATGTGTGGTTTTCTAATTTTTTATTAAGAAAAAAGTACTTATGCTGCTAAGGATTCATTTTTTAAATAATATTACCTCCCTTTCTTTTTCTTCTCCATACAGTCTATAAGAGAAGTGACGGGATATGTGCTGGTTGCACTGAATCAGTTTGAGTATCTGCCGCTGGAGAACTTACGAATCATCCGAGGCACCAAACTATACGAACGTCGCTATGCTCTGGCCATCTTCCTGAACTACAGGCGGGACGGCTTCTACGGCCTGAGGCAGCTGGGTTTACGTAATCTCACAGGTATGGTAGACAATATTTCATAATATTAACATTTTTTTTTTGTGTGTGTGCAAGGTTCCTAAACAGAAAAGTCTGGAAAACCATGAAATTTGATTTTTATAGCTTCAAAAGTGTTATATTAAATATTTATCTTCCAGACCTTATTCCCAATTAGATTGTAAATGTTGCCTCCTTCCCTCCTTTCTTTCTTCTGTGAATCAGTTAAATATACTGAATATGTGCATCTCAAAGCACTTTATAGAGACAATTCCACCAGGCATATTGGTAAAAGTTTTCTGAGGAAACCCAGCTGATTGCTTCGAGTCATTGACTTTGCAAGATTTTCTCCTCCTTAGTGAACATGTAGTGACACTAGATATTCGCTAGCATTCTGATGTTGACTCTACAGCAGCCCCACACACCAATCAGGCATGCAGTGACAGTGGAGATCAAAACTCCCTTTAAACTAGCCTGAGTGTGAGCTGATGGAGGGTTCAAGGAGACAGAGGCAGACATACAAAAGGAACAAGAGGCACTCCATAAATGCTTCCTATGACAAAAAAGGTAACAATAATCTAGATCCATGTATAGAAAAGAAACAGCTGAGATCTGAGCCATTTCCATGAACAGATACAGTTAGTCACAGTCAAAGTTGAGAGAAGCAGGACTCAACACTGAAAAACAGCCCCAACTCTATCGGTAATGGGAGGTGTTTATGGCAGCAGCCCGTCTGATAGTTATCTACTGAAGACAAAAAATGACAAAAAACAAATTGAAAATAAGAGGTTAAGCTAACAAATACGGCATAATGGGATAGAATGAATAGAGATAGAATGAAGCAGAATGAGGTAAAGGGTCACTATGTCCTCCAGCAGTCACAGCCTATAGCAGCATAACTATAGCGGTAGTTCGGGATAACCTAAACTACTCTAGCTATAAGCTTTATTTAAAAGAAAAGTTATAAGCCTAGCCTTAAAAGTAGACAGGGTTTCTGCCTCACAGGGCCGGATCGATCAAAGGTTTGCTTGTATAAAAACGTGAGCTATTTCACTGCGCATGCTAAAAAATGTACAAACTGATCTATCAACAGCGTGCTAAAAGGATTTGGTCTTTAAAACGTGCTAAATAGCGCCTCTTATCCATTTAGTACTTTTTCTGCAATGAATATGCAATATGGGACGTTTACACGCAAAAGTGCGTCTTGTGGGAGGAGAACATGTAAATATATTAATTTAGCACTTGCAAAGTGATTTATCAAACCTGAAAGCAATTTTGCTAACGGTATCTAACTCTATATTTAACACGTTTCAAAAGAAGGTGCAAATGGTCTGTATGTGTAATTGCGCACACATGGCAGCGGTGGGTTGCGCAAGAAGGAGACATCGAAATGAAGCAAGGAGACGCAGAGAAGGCATTTTTTCACTCCGTGTGAATATTTTTTGAATGAACGAGGAAACGATCATCAAAACATATCGTTTATCCAGCATTGCCATTTTGGAGCTGTTGGGGGAACTCAGAATGGATTTGGAGCCAGCCACAAGGAGGACCCACGCAACACCAGATATCACAAAACTCCTTGCAACGTTGCACTTTTTTGCATCTGGGTCATTCCAGCGTACGGTTGCAGCGAGAGCTGGGATCTCCCAATCTCGTTTTTCAGAAGTGCTGTCCGACGTTCTAAATGCCATGTCGCCCTGACGCCCTACCGGAGAACCCCGACCTCCCCCCTGCGCCTGTGGAGCAACATGCCAATGCTGCAGGGATGCGTACGCACAGTAATCTCATCCACAGTCACTTCTTGTGAGCCATTTGGTATGTGCATTTTTCTACAGGCCAATACAATTATTACTGTAGTGAAGTAGAAATTCAGCCACATACCACCTTAGGGAATAAAGGTTGCCATATATATATATATATATATATATATATATATATATATATATATATATATATATATATATATTTTTTTTTTTTTTTTTTGGAGGAGGTGGGGGTGTCACTGTGAGATTTAAATTTCTTAATGCACTAGTTTGTACAACTACAAACTACTTTGCCGCAAACCACAAAACGCGCAAAACCATCATTTAAATAGGGCGTCTCCAACAGTTTTGCACCTGCCACCAGTTACGCAATCACTCTTGTTAAATCACCCGCAAACCATGGTTCAGCCCCTCGCGCAAAATTCCAGTTTGCGAGCGCAAATTACTGCACGCAAAATTGGATCTTGATAAATCCGGCCCACAGACTAAAACTGGTAGTTGGTTCCACAGGAGAGGAGCCTGATAACTAAAAGATCTGCCTCCCATTCTACTTTTAGAAATTCTAGGACCCACTAGTAAAGCTGTAGATTTGAATCAGAATATGTGTTAGGAAAAATAAAGAACAATCATATCTCTTATGTAAAATGGAACTGGTTGAAAATTAAAATTAATAAATGAGAACCCAATGACGGGAAGCTAAGTTAGGAGAAATATTGTCTTTCCTTTACATTTTCATCAGAACTCTGGTTGCAGCATTTTGGAACAGCTGAAGGCTTTAAACTAGAGTTTGTGGACTTTCCGTTAAGAATGGCTTCTTTGTGTCCCATTTTCCTTACTGCCTCATGTCCTACTTCAAGTCCTTTTTGTGAAATTTTTTATTTTTTATTTGTTTTAATGTTGGTTTCCTTTAGATTTTTGTGTTTGGTTCCAGTTGTATAAAAAAGGAGGCTTCTAAACTGTACACTTCATAAGAAGGTCAAGCTATTTTTTTCTATACATTAAAAATAGGCAAAATATGATCAACTCTATTGGAGGACGAAATGTTTGAACCTTTTTTTGATTAATCCTGATGAATTCAGAGTTCAAGCTAAATTTCTTTCTTTCTTTCTTTCTTTCTTTCTTTCTCTTTGTTTCTATGTACATACTTTAAATCCATACAATGTCAAATTCAGAATCTGAGATTGTGAAATAAATATGATTGATAAAGACGGATCAAAAATGCAGACAATGATTTTCAAAGTCCGCTATGAGGTGCAAACACACACCAAAAAAGGGAAACTTCTTCAAAGCCTAATAAACTAATAAAACATATTTTACCATCTTTTTGATAAATCAGTTGTAGAAAATGTATCATTTATCCATTTAAACTCCCCCTGTGATTTTGTACTTCCAACTCATTTTCTGCTCTAAAAAATGCAAGTTTCAATTCTTTTTCCTCCCACACATACAGACTCATTACAGCTCTAAAAACTAAATCACACAATTGGAACTTGGTCTTTGCAATACACTGGTAAATTAGGTGTGTAGCTCGATAATGAGATTTTACCTTGAACTTCTTTATTCTTTTTACACATTTTGTAGGAAGAGGCTTTGGAAGTAGGCTGTATTGATGTTTTACATAACAGCTGTTGTGTTTGTGTTTGTTCTGACCATGTGGGAGTGCAGACGCTGAAGGGGAAAGCATTTGTAAAAGGAGCGCTTTCTGTGTGTTAACTCCATGTTGGTCTCAGACGTCTAAAGCAGCAGCTCGCATGGTATTAGATCCTTGAAAATAAACTCCCTCCTTCACTTTCTTCCTCTCCTTGTCTCATATATTTACATGCATTTGATGTAATGCTTGCAGACTGATCCATAACAGTCGGATCAGGAAAAGGTTTGTTGTTACCTGGATGACTGGGAATAAGGTGGCATGTTTGTCTGCAGTCCTGGAGGCAGAAACCCCTGATGCTCTGAGACACAAAACGTGATATGTTGCTTGAAATAAACTCTCTGAGGATCGGCTGTCTCAGACTATTTGAATATAGCGAGCTTGGTTCAGTCAGAGCATCAGAAGTCACCTTTTACAGCATTTCAGATGCTTTACACGCAAAAAGCTAAATAAAAAAACACTAATTCGCTGTTTTTCATTCCAGTCAATTTGGTCAACGAAAATATTTTTTATTGATATTTAGAAATTCAAAAAAATAAGTTCTGCTTACTTTATTGTTAAATTCATAGTATTCTTTGTGTGTTCATTAAATATGCTTTAGTTTACTTTTAAAAAGTTGAACCAAATAAGATTTATTTTAGGTTTTTTGCTGCATTTCTGTACATTGACAATGAAATTAGAAACTTGTATTTGTGGTTTAAAGTTGCAAAAATAGTTATTAAATCACTCTTTAGGTAATTTAAGCTCAAATAAGTTTCAAAAGTATAATTGTTCAAAAGAATATAAGCGCTTTGTTTTGCCAGGTGATTCTAAATAAAAAGTATATTTTAATATTGTAATAACTTGATGCGACTGTAACCTCTGATTAAAATATTGCTGTAAAAGTTACAGCAAAAATAATGGATTATTCAGACAAAACTGACATAGAACAAAAATATATGTGAAGAAGCTAACATCTTCTTTTTCCTTTTTGACTTTTTAGTCATATTACATAATTTACTTTGTCGTGAAAAAGTTTTGAATTATTTACATAGATTCATAAACCTACAATAACATTTACCCGGATAAATAAATTAATGTAAAACACAAATTTACATTTTATAATCAATGATGTTTAACAGTATGCCAAAATAACAGGGGTGTAAAACTGAATTTTATTTTGTCTAAAGACGAGAAAGAAATACTAGCAAGAAAATTAGTAAAAAGTGAAAAATTAAAAGAAAATTATTTTTTTTGAGCAAGAACAGAAACCTAAAGAGAATGCTACAGTTTTTAGTTGGTTAAAGTAGGGCTGGGCGATATAGAAAAAAAGCTTATTGATAAAAAAAAAATGCATATTGATCGATATCGATAATTACTGAAAAGATTTGAAATCATATTTTATGTGCAGCTCTGCCTGGACTTTTTATGATATTGCTAAATGATTTAATTTTAGTAAAGAACACAAACACAGACTTCCAATTAAATCTTTATTTAACAAACTTTTTTAACCATAACAGAATTGTTTTAAAGAAAAATAACTCAAGAGACCTGAGTTATGTTATTAAATACTGACAAAGAATAAACTAAAGTGACTAAAATGAATATAACAAATAAATAAATGTGCCTGGGTC